ATTATTATTATTATTATTAAATAAATTGTTATTAATTTGAATATCCGTGTAAATTGTCAATATTATGATAATGATGATGATGATATTGATCATGGTAATGATGTTCATACTGGTACTGATGATGCCGATGATGATGCTAATTCTGATGATGGTAAAAATGCTGTAAGCAATGTAGGCCTACTGTACAAACAACCCCACCCCTCCATATGCCTTATGCCCTATATATAAAGATCCACCAACCAACATACGGAATTGCATATGACATGATTTATCTGTTATTATAACTATTTAATTTTGACTTACAGTATGTAAATGTGTTGTCGCACAATAAAGACGGATATTCGCTTTATAATCATATTAATCATAACAAAGTCGGGTTCTAGGAAAACTGTTATTGGTATGCCTCTCCGTGTAAATTGTCAATATTATCTGACTATATCCGAAACACTAACTTCTGTTTATATTGTTTACTGAGCAACTGTAAATAGACATAGGCCTATGTTATGTGTATACATTCATGGTTGTTAAATAACGCGTCCTGATATGTCAGTTATTATGTTTGTAATTAATTTGATTGACACTATTGATAATGAGCCAATTGTAATGAATGATTTTTAAGTGATTTTGAAAAAGCGAATAAAATAATAAAAAATCATAGAAAACATCGTGTATCTAAATATTATCAATATATATTGAGATTAATTATAAATAAATAATTAGGAAAATTATGAATATTATATAATATATTATAACAGATCAATATATATCCCTTCTTATATAGGCATATATAATAATAATAATAATAATGTTATTATTATTAATATTATTATTATTATTATTATAATTAATAATAAGAATAATAATAATAATATTATTAATATTAATATTAATAATAATAATAATAATAACATTGCAGCATTCGTAAAATGTTTGTCATTGGTGCTGGGAACAGTCACTAAATTGGGGGGCGCCAGGCCCCCCAGTAGAAAAAGTGGGTGGGCCAATGCCCCTGCCACCCCCCACCGCCGTTGATACCACATATAGGCCTATCACATTTTCAAAAATATCTACATATATTGTCATTTTCTGCAATGTAAATGAGTTCTAGCCGTCTGGTTATTATATAAAAGTTAAATGTTTTTCTTGATTTATGAGAAAATATAATTCTGTTGACTTTACATAGTTACTGTGAATAAAAACGATTTACATTTAGCATAAATTTCTATATTATATATTATTTTATATTTTATTAATGAAATTGACAAAAAAAACCTTAAAAGAATTACAGACCTAATTATTTATTTGAAAAGACAATAAAATTTCATTCATTTCAAACATTTTTCATAAATCCTATACTAATTTATATATTACTAAAATTGAGGTGTTCATTATATACTTATTTTATGAAAAATTATGAAATTTTAATTTGCATAGCAACGGTTGCTATGGTGATGACCTTGTATTTTTTTACACCATTAAATTCACTTTTTTTTTCTATAAAAGCTGTTTATCGTATAAAAAATACTGTATAAGCCAATCTAATATTTTACTTGAGACAAATATTAACAGCAATTATGTGAATTTCATTCGTTGCTATGGAGTTATAAAAGTTCTGTAGCACTTCAATAAAGGTGTTTCTTGATTTTGTTTTCTTAAATATTGCTCTTCTATAATACATAACTTTAATACAAAAATATTCATAAACCTATGACAATGATAAATAAAATAAGCTTTAAGCATCCCAGCAGGCACAAAACGTTAATTCAACGTTGAAGCAACGTTGAAATGTAGTTAAAACGTTGAAATCATGTTCACAACATATACTCAACATTGAATCAACGTTGGAAATATGTTTTGTATTTAACCCAAGTCTCGGTTGATAATTTAACATTAATTCAACGTTGAATTAATGTTAAAATTTGGCTGATAATTTAACAATTACAGTACCAACATGTATTCAACATCTTTTAAACGTCAAGTTAATATATAGTTTGCATTTCAATGTAGAATCAACGTTGAAAATGTGTTACGTTTTGCAACCAAAAACCTATTGCTTTTTCAACATTTTTTCTACGTTAAATGAACGTTGAAAATATGTTGAGATTTTAATGTTACATTAACTACGTAAGTTCAACATCAAGTTAAAATATAGTTTGCATTTCAATGTAGGATCAACATTGAAAATGTGTTACGTTTTTCAACCAAACTCCTATTGTGTATTGAACGTTTTTTCAATGTTAAATACACGTTGCAAATATGTTGAGATTTTAAAGTTACAGTATCAACATAAGTTCAATGTTTTTTCAATGTGAAGTTAAAATATAGTTTTTTATGTAACTTTATTTCAACATTGAATTCACTTTGAAATCTGGTTGAGATTTTAACAAACAATTACAATGTTTATTTAACATTTTTCAAACGTTAACCCTAAACATAATTTTTATTTCAATGTAGAATCAACATTTAAAACGTGTTGTGTATTTTTTTTAAATGTATCCATTACATACATAACGTTATTTCAACAATAAATAAACGTTGAAAAATGGTTTAGATATTGAAATGACATTAACAACATTAGTTCAACATCTTTTTAATGGTTAAAATATAGTTTGTATTTTACATATAATCAATGTTTAAACTATGTTATGTTTTTCTGTCAAAAACCATTGTTCATTCAACGTTTTTTCTATGTTAAAAATATGTTGAGATTTTAATGTTATAGTAACAACGTAAGTTCAACATTTTTACAACATCAAGTTAAATTATAGTTTGCATTGTAATGTGGAATCAATGTTGAAAAAGTGATATTTTTTTAACCACAATCCTATTGTTTATTGAACATTTTTTTATAGTATAGTTTATAGTTTGTATTTTACATATAATCAATGTTTAAACTATGTTATGTTTTTCTGTCAAAAACCATTGTTCATTCAACGTTTTTTCTACGTTAAAAATATGTTGAGATTTTAATGTTATAGTAACAACGTTCAAGTTAAATTATGGTTTGCATTTTAATGTGGAATCAATGTTGAAAAAGTGATATGTTTTTCAACCACAATCCTGTTGTTTATTGAACATTTTTTTAACGTTAAATAAACATTGCAAATATGTTGAGATTTTAAAGTTACACTATCAACATAAGTTAAATGTTTTTTCAGTGTCAAGTTAAAATAGAGTTTTTACTCAACTTTAATTCAACACTGAATTAATTTTGAAATCTGGTTGAAATTATAACATAACAATACATTGTTATTAAGTCTAAATATAATTGTTATTTCAATGTAGAATCAACGTTGAAAATGTGTTGTTTTCTTTTTTACAATATATCCATAACTCAAAGTTATTTCAACAATAACATTGAAAACTGGTTTGGATATTAAAATTACAGTAACTACATTAGTTCAACATCTTTTCAATGTAATGTTAAAATATAATTTGTATTTTAATGTATAATCAACGTTTAATGTTACCGTATGTTTTTTCAATTAAAACCTTGTTTATTCAACATTATTTAACGTTAAATAAACGTTGGAAATATGTTGAGATAGGCTAAATCTGTTCAACGTCAACTTAAAATTGCATTTAGATGTAGAATCAACGTTGAAAATGTGTTATGTTTTCAACCAAAGACCTATTGTTTATTTAACGTTTTCTCAACGTTAAATAAATGTTGAAAATATATAGTTTTTTACTCAACGTTATTTTAACATTGAATTCACTTTGATATCTGGTTGACATTTTAACATAAAAATTGCATTGTTTATTCAACATTTTTCCAACGCTAAATTTAAATATAGGCCTAGCCTTTATTTTAATGTTAATCATTGTTGAAAATGTGTTGTGAAGTTCTACAAAGCACCCATTATTTACTCACCGTTGTTTCAACAATAAATAAATGTTGAAAACTGGTTGAGATATTAAAATTTCAGTAACAACATTAGTTCAACATCTTTTCAATGTCAAGTTAAAATATAGTTTTTATTTTAACGTATAAGCAACATTTAAAATAAGTTGTGTTTTCAACCCGGAGTTTAAAGATTTAACTTTATTTCAACAATGAATTCACTTTGAAATCGGGGTGCGATTTTAACATAACAGTTGCAATATATTTATTTAATATTTTTCCAATGTTAACTTTAAATATAGTTTTTATTTCAATGTAGAATCAACATTGAAAGTAGGCCTACCCATTATTTACTCAACATTATTTCAACAATAAAAACGTTGAAAACTGGTTGAGATATTAAAATCACAGTAATAACATAAAGTTTAACATCTTTTCAATGTCAAATTAAAATGTAGTTTGTATTTTAACGTATAATCAACATTTAGAATGTTATTTTTTTCAACCAAGTTTAAATTTCTTTAACTCAACCTCAACTTGATATGAAATTTCATAGAAATAATTGTACAAAATTTATTAAAGTTTACCTCCATGGTGGGGTATAAAAAAACTCATATAGGCCTATTATGAGAGCATATGATCTTTAATCATTATGGTAATTATTATGCCTATTATGAGAGCATATGATCTTTAATCATTATGGTAATTACATTGGTTCTCTGTCCTTGAAAGTGTGGCAAGTAATGGGCTAATCCGATTAGGTCATTAGGTACAGACCAATCAGAAACAAATGCTCATGTTTTGAAGTATGTATCAGTTGCTGTAAAGCTGTCTTCATACACAGTTTACATACTAAAGAATTTCACCATTATCAAATAAATGGAAGAACTGTATATTTGTATACAATACTATATTACAGGGTGTATCTAGGCTAGCCCAATATCGTAACTGTATAGGCTTGCTTTATATTATTATGTGGTTATCTTTTGTTCTAGCTAAGATTTAGGCCAGCCAGCCCTCTGGCCCTAGCTAGGCCTAGTAGAAGAGACTAGGCCTAGACTAGAGTACTGTAGGGTAGTGTAAGGGCATTAGTTAGCATAATTTTACTGTTCGGGCTACACTGCAAGGCCTATACTTTTCTTTGCAAAATGGCCACGTCCTGTGTTGAAATGCTATAATATGGTCTATATTAAATTAAATATAATGTTCAAATGTGGTTGCATGGACAAAGTGCAAAAAAAAAACAGCTAGGCCTAGGCCTATTATGTGTGTTTAATAATTCATCTCATATCATGGGCCTACATACTGCCAGTGGTATAATAGCCTCATCACTTTCATGCCATCAGTAATCATTTTCTTCTTTTATTTTTTTGAAGATGTTAATAATGTAAATTTTTATATTTTCTGTCAATAAAGAGAAAAATTAACAATAGGCCTATCTTTTGATGGTTAGTGTTATAAATAATAGAAATATAAAAATAGATATGGGCTAATTTAGTTGTGTGTATAGGCCTAACTATAAATAATATGGTATTTCTTTCAGGTTTTCAATCCATTGACTAGAAGCCATGTTTGTTGCAATATGTTGTTTGTGGTAGACACTGGGAAGAAACCGACTATTGAATGTGTATTTATTTGTCTCCTGGTACAAAACTGATGGAAGAGCAGCCATGATGAAGCAGTAAAAAGGTATATAATTTTTATTGTTAAATTTTACAAGAATATACTGCACATTTGCTAATACCACTAATAGGTGACTACCCTACTGTGTCACAGTAATAACCATTTGTTTCCTAATTAAAGTCTTGGGTACCTAAGAAGTCATACAAACAGTAAACAGCATTTGTCTTAATCGTCGTTTTACGACTATTATAGTCGTACGAAGGCGATTATTAAGTTTAAATTAATTGGGGACAGTCAAATTTTAAATATTATCTTAACATACTAAATATTCTTCAACGATAAATGGCACCTAACTTCGTAGTATGATGCTGTCTGAGTTGCCCTTAAAGAAAAATGTATTTAAATCTTTGAAAAAAAACACATTCTATTATTGAAAGATGTGACTTAAAGTTTTTTTCAAACTTACTTTTGTTCTCCATCCATACATGTTGTTTGATGTTGTTCCTAATTATTTAGCAAAATGTTAAATTGTTTTAGTTTAAGCCCATTATAAACCTAGGCAATTACTGTACTCTCACAACATCCAATTGAATATTGTGCATATCAAAAGTAATAAAACTGAATGAATAATATGTGTATTAGGTTAAGTGCCACTCTCTATACAGAAATCTGTTCATGTTTGCAGTACTGTAGTTCATAGTGAATATTTTTCAGTATTTGCATCATTATTGGTAATGCTTGCAGTATATCAATGTAGATTGCTCTGGGAAGAACAGTTGTTTCAACTATCTACATGTAGATGATAGTATTTACATTTTTAAAATTATATTACATGTAGTATAGTATATACATTTTTAAAATTTACCTTACAATTAACTTTAAAATAATATTTCAGTCTTTGTTTCAAATATTTTTGTTTTGTTTTTATCTTTCACAAAGGTTGTTGGATACCTTGCTTCAATACCTCTGGTCGGACAAGAAAAGACCTGGCTAAGGAGTAGAGCTTCAAATAATTTATCACCAAGAAAGTTACTGATTTAATCCGAATCCTGTAATGCGAAAGATTCTTAATTAAGCTAAGTGTGCAATATTAGGTCAGTTAAGACGACAGTAATGCATAGGTATATTTTGAAATCTAGACATAGTAGCTGTTGTTATATTATTGATTTAAACATGCCTGTATAGTACAATGCATACTATTTTATGTTTTCTGCAAGTTTCAATTAAAGAAAAATGGTCAAGTATATTTTGAACTCAGTGTATTTTGTATGTTTAAAGGATTAAACATTGACATTGACTCAACATTGAACATTTTACATTGAATTAACATTGAACATACTACATTGAATCGACGTTGAAATTTACGTTGATGCAAACTTTCATTCACAACCAAAATTCAACATTGATCATTTGATGTTATTATAACGTTAAATAATTGATGTTGAAACAGCTTTAGACATTTTACGTTGAATCAACGTTGACATTTACGTTGATGAAAACTTTCATATTCAACTAAAACTCAACGCTGATTCAACATTGATCATTTGACGTTGTTTTAACGTTAAACATTGACGTTGAAACAACTTTAAGCATTTGACGTTGAATCAACGTTGAAATTTTACGTTGATGAAAACTTTCATATACAACCAAAATTCAATGTTAATTCAACATTGGTCATTTGACGTTGTTCCAACGTTGAAAAATTAGCATTGAAAAAACCTTAGACATTTGACGTTGAATCAACGTTGAAATTTACGTTGATGAAAACTTTCATATACAACCAAAATTCAATGTTAATTCAACATTGGTCATTTGACGTTGTTCCAACGTTGAAAATTAGTGTTGAAAAAACATTAGACATTTTACGTTGAATCAACGTTGAGATTTACGTTGATGCAAACTTTCATATACAACAAAAATTAAACGTAGATTCAATGTTTGCATATTACGTTGAATCAACGTTATTTCAACCAAGTTGTGCCCACTGGGTAGGCCTAGCCCGAAAAAGTACACCGATCCCGCCGCCAGGCAGTATCATGAGCATGTGGTGAAAACAAGGGTGAATTTTCTAACTTCTTAAATTTCGTGATTTCTTCGTTGCTGGTCTTGAAGCAAAAAAATCGGTTATCCTTTCTCGGCGCTTCATCCTCCTCCTAGGCTATTTTTGGCGTGTCGCATGTCCTCGATCCCAGAGAAAGCGCCCAAACTTTTGTGATGACGTCGTGCCAGAGTAAATAAACTAAGGAGCACGCGATTAAGGCGACGAAAAATATCACAATTACTAATCTTTAGATCAACATTGGATATGGTGCTACCGGATCTAGCTGATGTAATAAGAAATAACTCCGTTTTAGAATCATTAAGCATCCAGCGTTTAGTTTAAGTAATGCAGCACATCAGTCTTGTCCTAGCAGCAACCATATCCCCTGTTGATCTAGGATTAAAACTAACATACAATTGAATGTCGTCAGCATACTTATGAAAAGAAATATTTAAACGTCTAAAAATACTAGAAACAGAGTTAAAATATGTCGCAAAAATGAATGGTCTAGCCACCGACCCATTGTATAACTCAAAACATAACATCACGGGACAATGACTTTTCACCTAAAATTGAAACATTACATGTACGGTTACGAAGATAGGATTTAAACCATCTCAGATCATTACCACTTACGAAACACTCATCATTCAATTTGCCTATAAGGAGGACATGATCTATGGTATCAAATGCACTGGAAATAATCCAATAAAAGTAGCAATACCTTGGCTGTTATCTAAAGCAGATAATAATATCATTCTTCATTTTGAGCAGTGCTGTTTCTGTGCTATGACACTCCTTGTAGGAAGATTGTAAAATTTCATTGAGATCATTATTATGCAGATGCCCTCTAAATCTAGATATAGCAGGGTACTCAATAACCTTACCTAATGTATGGAGGTTCGAAACGGGTCTATAGTTTTTTAACAATTCTAGATTAAGATTATTTCTCCTAATGATAGGAGTAATTAAACTACATTACGAAGGTCAATGGGAAATACCCATTTGAAAACGATAGATTAACAATAGATTTAATGATCGGTGACAGAATATAAATACACTGCTTTAGGAGCCATATGGGCAGAGGGTCTAATGTGGACGATTTGTTAGCGATTTTTGCTACAATTTACAAATGTCATCTTCATCAACAGGTTTAAAACTGTTTAAACTTTCATTAATATCATCTATATTTAGTTTATATTTTACATTGGAAGGTATACTGACTGACTCGTCATCAACTACACCACCCACATGCTCATCAAGTTCCCCTCTAATTAGAGATACTTTTTAGCTTTAAAAAAATGGCAAACCTCTCACAGAGCTTACTATTAGAACTACATGCAGGTAACAGTCTACATTTGTTATTAAGAAGAGTGTTCAGCGATACATTGTTTTAGAGTCAGCAGTAGCTAAAGCAATCTTGGAAGTTTTCTGCTTTCTTATCAAGAATACGTTTATTAACTACCATATTTTGATTAATATATTTTTCCGATCGTTCTCTTACGCGATGTCCTCCACTTCCTTTCCAATTGTCGTCCATAAATATGACTTTAAGTTGAATAAAAGTAGGTCTCGATTGAAGGCAGCGCAGCGTCAGCGGCAGCGGCAGCAGCAGCAGCAGCTGCAGCAGCAGCAGCAGCAATTGTCGCTAATCAATATTTTGAAACGAAAATATTCCCTGCTCTCTACTGAGTGCTCTTGTTATTATTGTTATTATTGCTATCATTGTTATTATTATTATTGTTACTGTTGTTATTATTGTTATTATTGTTCTTATTATTATTATTTATTGTTTTGTTATTATCATTATCATAATCATCTTCAACATTATTATTGATATTATATTATAATTAAAAAATATTTGTGGCAAAAACAAAATGAAATTATATCAGATATAGGCCCTTTTACATTAAAAAAAACAAAAATTATTTTAATTTTTGATTAGTAATGATGATAGTGATAAAACATACCAGCATTTTCGGTAATGGTAATGGATGTAGACTTAAAGCTCATTATTACAAGGTCTCTATGCGCTTTCAACAAATGTCCAAAAAATTGTTGAGCAAAAGAAACAAAAACAAAGGAAAAAGGAAACAACAAAAACAAAACAACAAAAACAAAACAATCAACAAAAAGGTAAATAAAAGATACAAATAAATCAAAATAAATAAAATAAAATTAATCAATCATTGGTATCATGAAGTTGAAATATACAATACTGCCCTCAATGTAGTCTAACAATACGATTATTTTTATTATTATTATTATTGTTGTGGTTGTGATTGTTTTGTTGTTACTATTGTTATTATTATCATGAGAATAATCATCATCTTCAACATTATTACTGATATCACAGTATAATTATAAAACATTACTGGCAAAAACAAAATGAAAATTATGTCGTATAAACATTAAAACAACAATAATTATTTACATATCCTCAATGTAGTCCAAGAATACAACATAACCTCATACGTTTCATTATGAACATCATAAAATTTTTGTTTTTGTTTTATTCAAAAGAAAACACAACATGTTTATTTACTTCTACAGTCAATATTATTGCATATTTCACTTTCATTAATTATTCAAAACAAAATGTATGTGAATACAGTAAATTAAATTAATGCTAAATCTATACTTATTTTATTTTTTATTATTGTTTTATTATCATTATCATAATCATCACCTTCAACATTACTATTGATAACATTGTGTAATTATAATATATTTCTGGCAAAAACAAAATGAAAATTATGTCATGATATAACAGTAAAACAATGATTATTTGAATTTTTAATAAATAAATGATAATGATGACAAGACATACCTGCAATGTTATGAAGTATTCATGAATTAATAATTACGCTATGAAATTATTATTAGTATTATTAGTATAGTATTATTAGTATTAGTATTATTAATATTAGAATTATTACTATTATTAGTATTATCATTAATATTATCATTATTATTATTGTCATTATTATCATCATCATCAACATTATCATTATCATTATTATTATTATGTTATTATCCCCATCTTCAGCATTATTATTGATAAGAAATTATAACAGATATTAACATTAAAACAACAATAATTATTTCATTTTTTGATAAATAAATGATGACGACTCTTACCTGCAATTTTATGAAATACAGGTCTCCTTCCAATTAAGCTGTTTTTTATGGTCTTTAGCGGCTTTGGTCTATAATTAGAATACTAAGACATTTTGTTAATTTGCAACCACAAAAATATGGTTAACTGGAGGGGTCTTAAATTTCATGATGATCTGTACAGTATTTTGTTGGTATCATGAAGTTGGAATATACAATACCGCCCTCAATGTAGTATAACAATAATTACGACATGACCTCGGTCTACGCTTCGCTGTAAACATTTGAACCGGTAAAAGACTATTATTGACTCTGTCAATAGAGTTGTTATTTTCGTCCTTTGTGGTTTACTAGTACTACATCCTGAATTCCACTGATAAGCAATTATGCTAATTATATACCTATAAGGCCAGAAAGAGTAAACGTCATCAAACCTAGATTTGAACCTCGGCTTTCTACCACAGGCCATGTTCTTACGAACTGTGGAATTGTTGTGAATTAGTTCTAAACGTATTTCGTATGTCAGAGCTCAACAAGACTGGATCTCCAAAATAAATCATAATGACTAAAATGAACTTTAATCCGCCTCTTGTCAATGCTATATTTGAATAAGAGAATTTGCGTCCTATA